GTGCCCTCAAATAGTATTCCAGAGTCTGCTGTGACTTTTCAGGCTGCAGGGCTCCACTCACACCTTCCCCAGGCCTTGGGGAGGCAGCTGAGAGCAGCTCCACACTCCACATGCTGCAGGAGGTGTGGAGGAATCACTACTGAACACCGAACAGGCAAACAAATACAACCCAGGCAGAAGAAGCAGGAATTTTAACCCAGAGACTGTTACAACTTTGTCATTCACCCAGAATGTGTGGAACCACACCTGGCAAAGCAAATACCACTGCTGGCTTAACCCTGGGGCGTGTTTGGGATGGCAATGTGAGGATTGTAATTATTTCCTAAACTCCTCGCAGGGGCACTTCCCTCTGCTGCTCCTCGTGCTCCTGTCAGTGAGAAGCTGCAGCCTGTCCAGCAGCCCTGCCTGGCATGTGCCCATCTCCACGTTTTCCATGAATGAGCAGAAGGCAAATCCATCAGTGTTTATCTGCACAGCCCCACTGGTGCCCTGCGCTTTGCAGCACCTGCTGTTGGATGCTCTACAACACAACACAAACTCGCAGCGTAAATTCCTCGGAGTTTGCAACAGCCCCAGACGCCCCAGACACCCCTGGGTCTGCCTTTATTTATTTTTAGGAAGGATGTGGGCAAAGCCTGCAGTTGTGGCCAGTTGTCCTTCTGCTGGGTGTCCACCCCCATGCTGGGTAAGCCCAGGAATGTCTGTGGTTCCCTCTCTGGCCCCAGCTGCTCCGGAATGTTCCCCCCAGACACACACGTGGGGTCAGTCCTGGTACAGTCATGCACACTGTCCTGGTACAGTCATGCACCCCAAAAACACACCACAAGCCTTGCCTTGGCAACACCTGCATGCTTTGAGCCACAAGAACTCCCCTGATAGCTTACAGGACTATTCTTTATTCCTCTCTCCTGCACACACAGGCAGCCTGTTGATAGTCCTGCAAGCCCAACTCTTGAAGTTCTTGCATGAAAACAAAACAAAGAATGAAAAACAACAACAAAAAAAAATCCCTCTTTTCCTTCCTGGCTCTCTCTTGCTGCAGCACCTCCACTGTGAGCCCCCGGCCCCTCGTTTGTGGTGGGGGATGATGGCTGGGGCCAGGCAGGGCAGCTGTGATGCTGTTTGATAAACAACTGAAGCGAAGTGAACATCACCATTGGCTGTGCTCAGCCGGGGAGGGGAAGCCTGGCTAGCAACAGCTTTGGGAAGCATTAACAAAGGGGGATTTAGGATTGGAGAAAACAAATGGAAGGGGGCTGTGAAATGGCAACTCTGCATCTTCTCTACACGCTGTGCTCCTCCCTCCCCTGGAGTTGCCATGGATTCTCACACTGCTTCCCACCTCCCTGTGATCCCCTGGCGCTGTCTCTGGGGTGTCTCCTGCCTGCCATCTCCTCCCAGCCTGCCCACACAGCCCAGAACTGTCCTCAGCGCTGCCACAGGATGCCTCCCAGGCCTGTCTCACCCTCTCATGTCCACCTGTGAGAAACACAGAGCCCTCCCCATCCTTCAGGAAGGAAATCCTGCCTCCAGCCAGGTGTTTTCCTGAACAAATCATCACACAGACCCTAAAACAAAGAGCAGCCAGGGTCAGGCAGCACCATGAACATGCAGGGAACAACAACGAAAACAAACCAAAACAACAAGATGGGTCCTTTGTACCAGCCCCACTCTCCCCCCCTACACCACCAGCCTCCTCCCACAGGGAAACCCCACAGTGACGATCCCACAGGGATACCCTGAGATGCTGCTGGACCATTCATCTACTGCACTTTGGCCAACTCATCACTGTAATCTCTGCTAGAGCCACTGATCTGATTTATCCAGGAATGGCATCTGCTGCTCGGAATCAGTCTGAATTCATTTCCATTTGCCCAGCGACAGCATGGGTGTGTTTTTTTTTAAGAAAAACAAACCACAAACATTATTAAATTAATCATCCTATCCTCCTATTTCTCCCAAACAAGATTAATTCTGTTTTGCTCAGGTCTGCCTCGCTACCACATTTTCAGAGCATATTGTCTGAGCTCCTCTCTCCTGAGCATGTGCACCAGAGCTCTCCCATGTTTCAGAACAAAGAGCAGATTCCCTTTGTTGTCCTGGAGCAGCAGAGATGTAAGAGATCAAGAGCTGGTCCCTGCCTCATTGAGCTTCCCCTGCTCTGCCTGGTTCCAGGTGCCCAGAGACATGTGGGATTTGTTGTGATGGGCAGGGCTGTGTGGAGAAGAGACAGGATTGTTTCTTCCCCAGCTCCCATGGAGACAGCAAGGCAGAAATCCCAACACGGGTTTGAGCTTGTTTCTGGCTTAGGGTCAGTGCCAGGCTCCCCCCACGATCCATCCAACCCCCTGGCCTAAGCTGCTGTGTCTTTATTGTTAATTAATTTAGGTCAAATAGAGTTAAGAGCACATCCCTTTTTTTGATTTTCAGCTGAAAGGCAGGCTGTGCTCCCCTAGCACCAAGCAGAGCCCTGCACTTCAGAGAGCTCGTGGTGCTACAGAGCTTCACCTGTCAGCAGGAGACACATTTGTACAGGGTTTAACAGCAGAGAGAACAGCAAGCCGGGCTCAGGCAGCTGCACTTGCCCCCTCTTTAATGCCTGTACTACCAAGCAGTGCCTGGGGAATTCACACACCAGGCATCAAAACTCTGGGAAGAGCATGGGAACAGCACAATGGTGAGTGGGCTGCTTTCCAGGATCTGCCTGTTTGATCGCCAGGGAGATGTCAGGGCTAGGCACCGAACATATGAGAGCATTTTCTATTTCCATCCTTTAATAGTGTTACACAGGTTTGGATTAAAAACATCCCCCTTCATTTAACTTAAAACAGGGTGAAAGAAACGGGGAGGGGGGGGGGGAATCTGCAACAGCAGTTTTGTTGCAAATGTGGACACAGGCAAGTGGGGAAAACCAGAAGGAATTAAAATCCACTGAGTTCTTCCAGTTATTTCAGCAGCAGCCTGTGCTTCAGCAAAATCTCTTTCCAAAGCCAGGGTTCAGCCCATGCTCTGGGACCCCCTGCCACAACATGGGGCTCAGAGCAACCTGGTCCAGAGGAAGGTGTCTTTACCCATGGCAGGGGGTGGAAAAAGATGAGCTTGAAGGTCCCTTCCAACCCAAACCATTCTCTGATTGAAGAGCAGCTGTTCCAGGGCTGTCCTGGGCACCCAGGTCACAGATCCTCAGCAGTGGCTCATGCACCAGAACCAACATTTCCCACTCGTTCAGCTCCCCACACACACTCTGAGGCTGCCTGTCCTCTTGCCCTCTCTCTTCCCACGCCACAGTTGCTGCTCTCTTAGGCACTGGGAAGGCGATGGAGCTGGTGAAGAGATCCAGGCAGGGGCTGGGAGCTGAGCTGAGTGTCACTGTCCCATGACCTGAGGAAAGTCTCTGTTACTGAGCTCAGGGGGTCTGGGCTGCATCAGCTCTCTGCCCTGAAGAGTCCCAGCATGATGCTAGAAGAGGGAGCAGCAGAGCCTGCTCTGATGGGGCTCATTTACTGCCTTCTCACAGCAAAACAATTACAGCAGCTGTGGTGCACTTCTGCATTAACAGGGCTTTGTTAATTGTCATTTGAACTAGAGCGGAAATGCTTAGAAAGATTTTCCTTGATTAAAATATTGTCAGTGATGGGGAGCTCAACAGACCTCTGAGAAAACCATTCCAGCTACAGCTTTGCTTTAAAGTCCAAGGCCAGCTTCTACTATGAACACTTAATCTAATTACATCAAATGCTCACTCCATTTTAGCTTTATCAGCTGGAATAGCAAAGTTTAATCACTTCAACAAGTTGGCTATAGCAATCTCTTAATTTTCTGATAAGATATATTATTGAGCCAGACCCAGGGAAAGAGTCAGGCACAAGCAGCTGTTTAATTGCAGATGTTTAACTACAAGCTCTGACACCAAAATCCACCACCCACTACTCCCATGTCACCATTTTAAACTCCACAGGAGCTGCCCAAGTGGCCACCAGGAATGGCAAAGCACAGAGATACAGTGCCTGAGCCAGCCAGATGAGCAAGCACATCACCCAGATTTATTCCTGATTATTCAGAGAGCATAACCCTCAGGTATGCCCCAAAAGATATAATCTTTCCACATATACATTATCCTGGAGCCAGTCTCCTCATACACAGTAACCTCTGGCTGGGGTATTCACAGAGAAAGGTGGAATTCAGCTAAAGTTCTCTCTTTCAAGGGAGTTGACCCTCTGAAGGGGATCCCTGCTTATGAACTAGGAGAGAGGATGGGAGAGGCAAAGAACAACATTTTGCTGTCAGTGGTCTCTCACTGTGCACCAAGACAAGCAAGCTTGGTGGGCCAGAGGCGAGAGAGCCCCAGTCAGGAGCAGGCTACTCAGCTGGGAGGTCTCTGCTCTGCTGCTGGGGCCTCTCTTCTGACTTCACACACACCCCAGAGAGGTGGTGGAATCTCTCTCACTGGGGATATTCCAGAAGTGTGTGGACACAGTCCTGTGCTGTGTGCTCTGGGATGACCCTGCTGAGCAGGGAGGTGGGACCAGGTGAAGCTCTGTGGTTCCCTCCTCCTGACCCATCCTGTGGCTCTGTGAGCACACCTCAGCAGCACAGAGCTCAAGGCTCCATGATTGGTAAAGTGAGTGATTTCCAGTGGCTTCCGTGAAGGGAGAGGAATTAAGATTTTTGACTCAGGAAGGAATTTACATGCTCAGAATCTACTTTAGCAAAGAGGCCTTTCTCTGTGAAACCCATTGTCCATTCCTCCAACCATCTCCTGACTTCACCTGGAGTTCCTTCCAGTTCCTGAGGTGCAGACACCAAACCCAGCCACACCACGGCCAACAGCAGCTGTCACACCAAGCACAGCTGACACAGGAGCAGCCCTATTTCTGACTCCATCAATGACAGGGACACCCACTCTCAGAGCTGCCACTCATGGACTTTCCAGCACTGAAAGTGGCACACCAAGAAAAGAAACCTTCATCCCACAGATAAATGAAGAAAGAGCCACTTACCCACTTGTTCCAGGTCTCTGGGTCTGAGAGAAGCGCCAATCTGTGTTAGGCTGAGCTTGCTGCAAAGAAAAGGAAGAGTTTTAATACCTCCATTCTTGCTTTTGAAAATGAAAGTGAACTGATCTTGGATTATTTCAGTCTGGAATATCAGCATGTTCTGTCCAAGTGAAGCAAATCAATTAGAACAAAGAGAAAGCTCCCCCTCCCCCTTTCTTGAGTATTTCTGAAGCAGCATGAATAACAAAAACCATGACAAAAACTGTTCAGAGAATAATCTTCCAAAGCAGCTCAGGAAACCAGGCTGTGAAAGAAATGAAGCATGAAATAAACTGATAAGGGCATGAATTCAGCAGGAGCAGTGGTACCACAGTAATGAGCTTGGAGGAGGAAGCGGGTGTGAGGGGGTGGCAGAGTTAATTGATACTGAGAAAGATGCTCTTAATACTCTAAGGTAAAATGGTAACAGACCTTCCCAATCTCTCTTTTTTCTGTCTTTAAAAAGGCCTGCCTGAGATCTTGCTTTCATGCATGGTATTTGAATGACTTTTCCTAGCTGTTGTGGCCTTGGAGCACTACAATATTTTTCTGTCCACAGAAAAAAGAATAAACTTCCGACAGCAAGAGGAAAAAGCCTTATTTGTTTAGGAGACACAATAACCTTCAGACACAGCAGCACACTTTGTAACCTCATTAATAAGCCCCCATATCACTCTCTGCCAGTGTTATTTTACAACCAGACAATGAACATTTTGTAAATAAGGAAGGACATGGAGCAAGCTTGTATATTCCTGTTTGAATCATGCCTTTGTAGAAAGCACTAAATAGCACAACTGTTTCTGTCGGGAAAACACACACACTTCCGAAAATCATGATCATCTTAATGAACTCCAGGGTGATGACATACTACCTGGAAAGGACAATGCTTCCCTCAGCTATTTTAGGAAGGAGCAGTTCATAGTCCATACACAGTGAAACATCAGTTTTATAGGATTATTCTGCTTGTACATGCAATTACTAAGGAAAAGTGAAGACGAGTAGAGCTGACCTAGATTTTTATTTAGTAGATGTGCTCTCACTAATTTCTCTGCAGCTTTGATGATACTCATGAAAGAAGATATTAGAATAAATTACTCCCCTAAAATAGATGCCCCACTGGTCCCCATGCTGCATGTAAATGAAGCTGTTGAAAGACTTGCCCTCCAGATTTCAGATACGCATTTTTGCACACGCTGACACACAATACTGCACTAGATAAGCCCTTCCCAATATTTTGAATAGCCCTTCCATATTTTGAATTCCTGTTGTAATTACCATTTTCAAATTTAGGGCAGGCATTTGTGACACAAAATTGCTTCACTTTTTATATCCCAAAGTTATAAAAGCTCCAGCTAAACACAGTCACCTACATCTATATTTAGGCATCTGAGTACAAACAGCTCAAGTTTTCAAAGCTTGCCGCTCCTCAGCCTCTGCAAGCCCAAGGGCACATAAGGTCACCAGGATCTTTGTGAATAATGTCACTCCTGACATTTCAGTATTTTAGTGCTGAATACTGAATTCAGCTCCTCGCTCAACATGACCAAGCTGGAAAACGATCCCTTGCCAAGGCACAGTTAGTAATTAATAACACTTGGGGTTAAAGAAATGAGAAATTTCTACAAGGCACCTCTAAAACTGAGCAAAAGAAACACAGGCAGACTTTTCTTTCACATAACCTCCTCCGCACCACAGCTCATGTGCCATGTAGCAGAAATGGGTTAAACAGAACCAAGAAGTTAAACCCCCAGAAAACCTGTTCCTGACCACACTAAGAATCACTTTAAATAGAAACAAGTATGAGTGGGGCCAAGGGGAAACTCTCCACTGCTACAAACACAGAGTCTTTGATTCTATAACGCTGCTTAGCCCCTTCCCCCACCTCCACCAAGCCAAGCCAAAACTTTCACCTGCCACCACCCAGGAGATGACAGTGACACATGTTCCCTAAGGCCACTGTCTCAGGAGGAAGGACGGACAGAACAGCCAAGTGGCCTGGATATGACAAACTGTTTCACTCAGCAGGGAGGACAGTAAGAAACAGCCATCTCTTACCCCATCGCAGGGACTTGCTAAGGTGCTGGTCACCTGCTCATAGGCAGCCACAGTCTCCGCAGTGCTAGAATGGCTGAAGGGCTTTACAAAGAGGAAATCGCTCTGCTCAGACATGGGCGAGAAACAAGAGGTGTAATTCTGTGCCTGGGAGGTCAAGCCCGCTCCTCCCACGTCCAGGTACTTGATGAAGCCATCTGGCTTCATCTGCCCTCGGAAATGGGAGGCGGGCTTGCGGCCAGTCCCTCGGCAGCAACCTGCAAAGGTCCAGCTGGCACTGCCAGCTTTGAGACACCGGGCAGCCGCCAGCCCGAACATCACACAGGACACGAGGGAGATGGACACCAAGGAGATGATGAGGTAAAGAGTTAGGTTGGTATCCTCAGAAGAAGGCTGGGGGAGGTCCAAGGACTTGGAGAAGTCCTGCACACTGTTTTCCTCCGGAGAAATGACTATTACCACGGAGGCCGAGAGGGATGGCGTGCCATTGTCCCTCACTTCGACCACCAGCCTGTGGGAATCTTCTGACTCCCTGAGAGCCTGTGCAACCCTTATCTCTCCAGAGCGGCGTTCCACTTGGAAAGGCAAAGCCTCAGCAGACTCCTGCAGCTGGTAGGACAGCCAGGCATTATGGCCACTGTCAGCATCAACTGCTACAATTTTAGTTACCAGATAGCCAGGCTCTGCCAAGGCCGGGATGGCTTGGTGGAAGGCAGAGCCCTTGGGGACAGATGGGTAGACAATGTTGGGAGCATTGTCATTCTCGTCCAGGACAAACACATGGACCACAGCAGTGCTGCTCAGAGCAGGAGACCCAGCATCCTTCACCTCCACAGGCACCTGGAACACCTTGTCCTGCTCGTAATCCAGAGCTCGCACGGTGTAGATGGTGCCATTGTCCTGATCGATTCGGAAGTAGGTTGAGATAGGTGCATCCTGCATCCCATTGTCCAGGATGGAGTAAGACAGCTTGGCATTGCTACCCTCATCAGGATCTGATGCTGACACTGAAAAGACAGAAGTTCCAGGGAGGGAGTTTTCCTGAACATGAGCTGTATCAAAAGGGCTGGAGAAATTCGGTGCGTTATCATTCACGTCAGCAATGCGGAGATAAAAGGTTTTTTGTGTGGCCCTCTGGGGGGACCCTGAATCCACAGCCCTCACTGTGATGTTGTATCCACTGGCCTTCTCCCGATCAAGGGGACCACTGGTGACCAGCGAGAAATGCTCTTTAAAAGATGACACTAGTTTAAATGGGAGCTCTTTTGCTATCTGCAGACGGACCTGCCCGTTGTCACCCGAATCGCTGTCCTTCACACCAATGAGGGCAATCACTGTGCCTGGGGCTGCATCCTCCTGCACCGGGCTGGACACAGAGGTCAGCACGATCTCTGGGCTGTTATCGTTGATATCAATTAATTCCACTCGCAGGTGACAGTGGCCTTCCATGGCTGGGGATCCCTTGTCCCTGGCTCGAACCGCAATCTCGTAAGCACTGGATTCCTCGTAATCCAGAGGGGCTTTGGTTCTGATCTCCCCTGTACGGGCATCTAAGGAAAACAGTTTGGTGAATTTACCAGGTGCATTATTGCTGGTTTTGAAAGAATATTCCACATCCCCGTTGGGACCTTCATCCAGGTCGGTGACATTCAGCTTGGTGACCAGAGTGCCCACTGGTACATTCTCCTCCAGAAGTACCTTGGATATGGGTGGGTCACAGACAGGAGGGTTGTCATTTGCATCCAAGACATGGATGGTAACCCTGGCAGTGCCAGATTTCACGGGATTCCCTCCATCCAGGGCTGTCAGTGTTAGATGATGAACAGGCACTTTCTCTCTATCCAGTGCTTTTTCAAGTACGATCTCGGGCATTTTAACACCATCTCCTCTCACGTTGATGCTCAGGGCAAAATGCTTGCTGGGGCTGAGCTCGTAGGTGGAGATGGAGTTGGAGCCCATATCTGGGTCTTCTGCTACTTCCAAGGGGAGCCGAGTCCCAGGGTTGGCTACCTCAGTGATCTCCAACACCACCTCTGGCTTGGGGAACTGGGGCGCGTTGTCGTTCACGTCGAGGACGTCCACCTCAACACGGTGGAGCTGGAGGGGATTCTCCATGACGAGTTGGAGGTGCAGAGAGCACGTGGGGCTCTGCCCACACAGTGCCTCCCGGTCCAGCCTGCTGTCCAGGAGCAGCACACCTGCCGCCAGGTCCACCTGGAAGTGCCGCTGCCCACCCTCGCTCACCAGGCGCAGGTTGCGGGCGGCCAGGCTCCGCACCTCCACCCCTAAGTCCTTGGCCAGGTCGCCCACAGAGAAGCCCGGCTCGCGATCCTCGGGCACGGAGTAGTGGAGCTGGGCGCAGCTGGGAGCCGGCAGGCAGGAGAGGACTGCGAGCAGCAGCGGGAGCTGCCATGGCAAACTCCGTCCCGCGAGCATCCCGTGCCGGGTGTGCGAACGGAGCAGCGCGGAGAGGAGCGGCGGCGGCTCCGCGCAGCCTCCCCCTCCTCCCCGCCCCCGCAGCCGGCCCCGGCAGCCGGAACCCCTGCGCCCCGGGGGGGTCCGAGCGGGTTGTGCAGGGAGGAAGCCGCCGCCGGAGCCGCCGGAGCCGGACGGGGAGGGATGGAGGAGGCGGGGGAGGGGACGAGCGCAGCCCGGCCGGCTGAACCGCTTCTCGATACGCAAAGACACACAAAGTCGGCGAGCGGAGGGGATGGACCGAGTGACAGTTTTACGTCTCTCCACAGCCCCCTCCTCCTCCGCCTCCTCCTTTTTCTCTCCCTCCTCCTCCCCTTCTCCATCTCACCGCCTTCCCCAAAATACGCACGGCGTAGCCCTCCCCTTCCCCCGCTGCCGCCACTCCGCCCCCGCAGCGCCGGGAGGGCGCCGGGGACTCCCGGCAGCGGGGAACCCGCTCCGCCCCGCCCGGCTGCTGGCACCGGGCACCGGCGGACACCCCCGCCCCAAAGCCGGTCGG